AGGCAGAGCCCCCAGCGCATCGCGGCGCCAACGTGTGTCAGTCCTCCCTGCAGGCGGGAACCGAGCTGGTGCAGTGATGTTGGAATAAAGCCAAGACGTTCCCGCTTAAATGTCTGCCTGTCAGCAAGGCTGACGCTGCCCATCAGCACGGCCTCCTTACCCCCATGAGGCCGCAGCGAGGCCCCTTCGGTCCTCTCTGCTGAAAAACCCGCAGTGGGCACTTCAGGGAGCACAGCCCTCCGAGCCGTAATTTGTGACATGTTTCTCTCTCCGAAGCACACCCTTTCACGAGGTGCACAAAGTAAATCTGCAGGACTACATTGATAGACGTCCCTGCATAGCAATGAAATAGATATAAATACAGCAATAGTTTCTTCTCAATTACTCTCAATTCAGTCTCCTGTAATTTTAGCGTTTCACTATTTTTTTTTTGACAGGTAGAGATGTTATTATAAAAGCTGGACACCATTCCTTCTTTATTAGTTGTTTTTAGTATTCATGACTCTTTAGGGCAACTGCTGTGCTATATTTTAGTCATTTTCTGGGGCATTGTGCCCACTAGGGGGAGGTGTGCACAAAGCATACATTGATTTTGTTATTAAACCCCATGACTGCCAGTAATAAGCAATACAGATTTATAAATAATTAGAATACATTTATTGTAGGTAAAAATAATCAATGATGGCCATTTAAGAGTCACTTTTCATCAGATGGGAAATAAAACTCAGGTTTTCATTCTAAACTAAAAATAACAAAATTGCTGAGGAAGTTACAGCTCAGCCACAACGCCGGATCAGATTGTTCCTGCCACACACTGCCGGTGAGCCCAGAGAAGACGAGCTGTGTCTGAAGCTGATCCACGCACGCCAGCGGGCTGCAAGAAACAGGCACCGCTGCCCCAGAAGTGAAGCAGCTGCAGGGAATTCAGGATCCCCGGGCCTGCACACGCGTCCCAGCAATTTCGGATAGCATGTACGCTGCGTATGGATGAGCTGATGTTTTGTGAATAGCCACTTACCAACTGTGTGGCTGTGTGTGTCACAGCGGCAGGTTCTTTAGAAAGTCTGACCCGTGACTTCACTTTAATTTTGGTTGAGAATATTTATAATCTGCAAAGCCCTGAAGAGAAGTTTGTCTGTTGAAGAGACACCAGTTGTACCTGTGTGTGAGGACTGATCTCTGACTATGTGAACATTGCTTGCCAGAGTTTCAGGATGACATTTTTCTAGTTGTTGCTATTTTGACTTAAGCCTGGGTAGAGAAAGGAACAGGCAAACCCTGTTACTGCCTAAATGCTGCTGTAGCTGCAGTACTTTGAGGGCTCCTGTACAGAGCTTGATTTAGTTATTTCCTTATTTTAACTCTAAACTGAGCAGGTTACTGATCCTTTTCTTTTTGGCTTTCTTGGCTATCTATCTCTGGCAAACGGTGACATATTCTGTATTCAGGATGGATTTTATTGCTAGGTGCCAGGATGCTGAGTGCTCAGGCTGGAGCCCTGTGTTAGTTCCATCAGGTCATGGGCCCCGTGACTCTAATTCTTCAAGACATTTAAACAAGTGCTTAAATATGTTGCTAGGTCAAGTCACATATTTAAAGGTTTATTTTTAGGCAAGTGCTTAAATGCCTGGATGAACTGAGGCCTTTAATGGTTAGCCTGCAGTTGGCTATTTAGTTAGTTATACAGTGAACATACTCTGCCCTTTAATATTTCTTTATCCAAATGAAAAATTGGAAGGTGTCATTCAGATGAAGGAGGATTATTAGATACACGCTGTCATGATAGAACTAGAATTTCCCTTGTTAATTTTGGTAGCTACCTGCTAAGGAAACATTGTCTTCTTGTAGAATAACAATTTTCGATTTTTTCAGAAACATACAGGGAAGAACTTTATGGCTTTAAACTTAAATAGTAGTTCTCTTTAGCTAGTCACTTAATAATACAGAATGAGGTTTAATTTCTACGTCTGTTGAGGTCCTGTGTATATACAGGAGTGCATCCTCTGCAATCCACTGGCACCTGTTTGCATGTAATGCACTCTTCCTTCTGCAGCACTGACTGTATTTAAAATAAAGCAGCTGTCTTTCCCAGAATAAGATGATAAGAAGTCTAAAACACTGAGCAGAAATAACTCTGTGGGTATCGGTTCCTAGGCACGCTAAGCATTATGGAGAGAGCTCAGCATGCTCCTTCTGATGGTTACTTATGACTTGGGTCTCTGGTTTCTGCTCACCGAGGAGATACAGTCACCTCATTGCTACAGAGGAAAGTTGAGGTGCCAGCATCCCTGCAGTCATTTGCAAGCGTCAGGCCAGTGACAGCAAATATCCCAATGCCCAAAAGGTCGTGGAAAACTGGCTCTTATTTGGAAGTCTCCTGTTTGCCTTCAGCTGGAGTAGGGTGCCCGGATACATTTTCAAGATTTGCCAGTGATAGCTTGCAAATCGGTGATTTATTGTTGCTTTCTTGAAGGGTTTGGCTTGAGAAGGCCTTCTGACTTTGAGGAGGGAAATCCACCTCCGTAGTCAGTCACAATATAGTCACAGCTTGAATATGTACAATATATATGTGCATGTGCATGTGTACTTGTATAGGTATACATGTATACACATAAGTGTATGCTCTATAATACAGGCATATATTTGGTGATAGATTTAGCTACCTCTCTAGTCTCAGCAACACAGAGGTCTTTTTAGATTTAAAAACACACATATTAATTACTTTCTCCTATAGTCATTACTTATGTCCACAGGAGCTCAGATTTCCCTGGTAACCGCATGTGTCTCATCGATGCCCAGTGGTTCTGTCAGGGTAACTGTGACAAAAACCTGCTACAGAAAGCATAGTTGTAAGAACCCCTGCTCGGATGGAATTAAATCTAGATCGATATTAGACTAAGACAGAAAAACCTATGCACAACATTATCATTTCAAATGAGCATGTACAAGTGCAAAAAAACCTAAAAATCCTCTGACAGCCTAGGGCATAGGTGTTTGTCTAGGAAACTTTTGGAACGGTGTGAGTTCACAGAAAAACAATAGGCGAGCAAAATTACAAAATTCATTTATTACCCTATTTTACTAATAATCTTATTATTGTAATGTAGCAGATATTTTTTCCACTAAGAACCGAGTGCTCTTCTTTCATTTAATTTCTTCTGAGAGAATTAAAATATGGTGCCAGTGAGCAGCAATGTGCTGTGCAGGAGAGGGCCGTGTGTTTGTACACCGTTGGCAGAGGTGCCTTAAGAAGATTTTTCACTGCACCTAATGCACGTCAGCGCGTGTCATGTTTTCAGGTATCTTTGCAGGCAAAAGAAATGGCGGTTTAAAATCTTTAATCTTTTAATTAGGCCTTAAGCTGAAAGTAAACTGTAAAAGGAATTACAGTAGAAAAAAGATGAATAATAATTATTTGGCAGGTCTTAGATTACAGTCTGACAAATCATATTAGTCAAATAATTCTGGATATAAATATTAGCTCTAATCCATTCCTGATGCCATCTGCTGCCTTTTGGATAATAGGTCCACAGAAAAATGACATCAGGTCTACCTAGATGTATGTTGGTAGTGTAAGAGTGACAGCTTCATGAGTGTTTAAGTCAGTTCCTGTTAGGTCAGCACATGATTTTAGGTGTAAAGTGCTATGAATGAAATCCATTACAAGTGTCAGAGCTGCAGACTTGGTGGTTAAGGTTTTAAGACAGACTTCAGAAATGTCAGTTCTGTGCACCTGGTGCCCCCTGTAATTAAAGTCTTGGTTACAGGGAACCCTCCTAGTGAAGTATGGATTTTGCTTGCTCTTTCTGTGAGCCAGGTAAACACAAGTGCACAGTATAAAGCCCAAATTCAAAGATATCCCAGGGGTTCAGTCTTCAACTACTCAGAACAATTTCTCATCATCTGCATTGTGGCTGTGGCTCTAGCTCATGCTGTGTTTTGTTTCCCAGGAAAAAAAAAAAAAAGATAAGGTGGTGCAGTACATCTGCTATGGGTTACAATCTTATGAGACTGCCCTGGTAATGCATGGAAATTTATAACTCCTTGTATTTTAAGGCAAATCTGGCTCAGTTTGCCGACCTGCAGTGAGACTCACAGCACCCAGGCTGGCTTTTCTGAATGCATTTATTTCAACATATGGCTCAAAACCTGGCTCAGGGAAGCCTGGCACAAATAGTTCGGCTTAAATATCCATGCATGCCAATAGATGCAGTTGTGCTCCCAGCTGAGAGCTGTGTGTTGTCGGTTTTCCCTGACACTCTTCTTCCACGTTGTCAGCCTGTGTTTCTCCCATTGTCTGTTCTGCCTTGTCTTTTCCTCTGTAAGCACCTTCGAAAGGGCAGGTCTGTCATTTCCCAGTTATTTCTATGGTGCACAGGACAAAGAATTGCAGCTTTGCTGTGGCCCTCCTGCAGATCCCACACTTGCCTGTCGCACTGACCATCGAGACAACGTGCCTATTGCTAGGGCAGTGTCTGTGCGGCTGCTGTGTGGAGCAGGAACCCGCTCCCGCCCCGGAAGGCAGGATGTGCTCAGTGTGCAGGTGGACAGCAAGCTGGCCTGAGGACAGTGATGATGCACCAGGGCTGCCGGGAAAAGTCCCTCGTGGTGTTAAGAGGTTGAGTTTCCTCCTTAATATTTAAAATATTAAATAGTGACCTAGAAAGAATGAAAATAAAATACTCATATTCATCAGCTGAGGTGTTCTTGTTGGAAATATTTTAGTTGTGAAGGGCACACTTGGATGCCAGCAGTGCAGGGAAAGGTGCAGCTTAGCAGTAGTAGATGGTAAATTAGAGACAGGTACCAGTGCCTGTGCAGGCTTGCAGCTCCATGCTGGGTGAGCACAGGGAAGCCAGAGCAGTTCTCTGGCTTCTTGTCTCATCTGCAGGCGTTTTGCAATAGGCTCAGTCACAGGATCATGGAATCAGGTAGGCTGGAGGTTTGGCAGTCAGGGGGTCTGGAGGCAACCCCATCCAACGCTCCCACTCAAAGCAGGGACAAATTAGACCAGATTGTCCCGGAATTGTTCAGTCAAGTGCTGAGTATGTTCAAGGACGGAGATGTTACAATCTGTCTAGGCACCCTGTTTCCATTTTTGACCGCTCCTGCAGTACAAATGGTTTCGCATATATCTTATCAGGAATTCCCTTATTCCAGTTTGCATCCAGTGCCTCTCATCCTGTCACTGTGCACCTCCAAGAAGAGTCCTGGGTTTGTCCTCTCTAAATCTTCCAGTGTAGGCACCAATAAGATGCCC